ATGTTTCATTAGATATGCAAGAAATTCATGGGTATTTGGTAACAATTTTAATTTCTAATTCAAGTGCGTTCTAGTTTACCTTCAGGTCTTGTCACAGAAGCAAGGGCGGAGGAGATGAGGCACTGCCGGAGCCACAGATCCGTTTACATTATAAACGGGTAAGTTCATACCGGCTATACAACTCGGATACAGCATTCTTCCTCCTTGCTGCGTCGTCCGCAACTGTGAAATGGATTTTTGAAGACATCTTTACAGTCAAGACTTGAAAGGTCCTGTGTGCACTGTGAAGACAGTACAGTGATTGGGAGGTGTGATATTTCCCCTCTTCGTCATGAACCTTTTCGGAGATTCGCTGCCTAGTTACCGTCTCGTTCATCTTATCTCCACTGCTCGCTAAACCGGGCTGGTTCTGGAACACGTGTCTACATTAGTCATCATAACTCCCTCGTCATCATCCCTGTAGAGAAGAAAGGCTTATTTGAGTAACGTAAAAGGCACCCCTCGTAGCATCTACAGCTTCCTTCTGAACAGGGCAACGTTTAGTTGCATCCGAGTGGCAAAATTGACGCAATCTTGGCAGTTGTGGAATTGAGATCACCCCGGCAAAGAAGAGGCCGTAGACCTTGTTGGGGTCGTGGCCTGCGGTGTCGTTGAAAACCGTTATGGTTGACATGGAGGAAGAGCAAGTGAACAAAAGATTCAGGTTGGTTTGTAAGTGTTGTTCCTGGTGAAAGTAGAAGTGTTTGGCAAATGTGATAAGGTAAAATGGATCATGTTGCATTTATCAAATTGATCAGAGAGCACAGAAGATAGACAAACTGAAAAAAAAGAGAATTTTAGGAAGGCATTTTCATTCTTTTGTAGCAGAAACTCTGAATTTTTCTAGATCAATTATCATGGAGCTCGTGTATAATTTAATGTATTCTATGAGATTTATGAGCGAACATAACCGAAGGATGACAATTAGGAAAACTCATTTGTTATAGAAGTCAACAAACTTAGTCCAGCCGAGGAAATGGGCAGAAAAAAAACACTGGCTGAAATCGATTTTGTATTTATGTTACCGCAAGTTAGAATAAATTTTTTTTTTTTTAAACAGTATCAATCAATTTCACACATTTAGGGTTTTATAAACTCTTACTACAAACTCAAAGATTTTTATAATATTATTAGATAAATATCTCAAATTTTAAACCAAAATTAAGAAATGAAGTAAATTTCTTGATCGGAACCAACTCTTGGTTTGACCTAAAAGTTGTTTTTTTTTTTTTTTTTTTTTTTTTCTAAACACAAGAAAAAATCAGAAAAAAGAAATATCCTGTAATCTATCAGTTACTTCTTGCCAATGTTTTAAAAACTCAGCCGACCGGGACTCGGGGCTTTAACCGATCCGAATATCTTTAAACCCAATTATGCCATTTAATCCCGTTGGCCTGGGGTTAAACAAATGAACCACTAACAATCCCCCGGTTCAACCGATCGGCATCGAAACCGGGTCACTAAAAATGTGAAAACCCTAAAATTTTGGTTTTTGTAACTGGGTCTTCCAAAGTTCAAACTTCAAGTTCAATTCACACCCGTAAAAAAATCTACATCAATGATTCTCTCTAATGCAAGCAAGAGGAGTTGTGGTTCTTGAAATCGTTGATTTGGTCGATTTGTTAACGCCGGTAAGACCAAAACATTTGGAGCTGATTTGCTCTATTGAAGGAGGTGGTGAAACTAAAAAGGCGCAACGACACACATTAGCACGAGAAGGAGGTGGGGCTATGGCATGAGGAGCATTGACTTTGGTGTGGTGCTCCATTGGATTTTGATTATGATTAATTTTTTGATGATGATGAATTGATGATCGTGGTTTGGTGATTTTTGTTTGATGATTGAAATGTTGAAAAAATGTGAGTTTTTGATCGAATAGAGATTGTTGCAAGGGTGGAGATGAATGAAGAAATTGATGGTTGGGATTTGGTTTGGGAGAAAGAGGATGAGAGAAATGGATGATTGCAATTTTCTTGGGAGAAAGATGATGGAATAAGGATAAGAATAAGATTTTTTAGATTCTCTTCCATTACTTTTAATTTAATTAATTCATTTTTTGTTCGTTATTTTCAATTAGAGTTAAGGCAATTTTTTTTTTCTAAAATCGTATTTAATTCAGTTTAATTTTTTTTAATTATGTATGTCATCATACCTCTCGCTTGAGACATCACCAATTTAATCCTCGGTTGAATCAGTTAACGCGGGACCCGGTAACCCAGACATTTGACCGGTCTAAACCTGGGTCGGGTCTTAATTCATTGCTTCTTGCTCTAAGGTATTGTTTTGTGGGGCAGCGTGTAGAGGAGTAATATTCAGCTGGACTGATAAAGACCGATTTTGATTGTGTATACACTAAGACCAAAAAAAAAAAAAAAAAAAAAATTAACGAGGACAATATGGCATAAGGGTGGAACTCTTAGCGTTGATTTCGTCAAATTATTTTATGTGACCAACCGCAGAATAATTAACATTAAAGGGTGGTTTGGTTCATTATTTTGGATAGATTTTTGAGAATGAGAAGTGTTAATCTTACAAATAATACAAAGAGAGTATAGAAAAACACCCACCCTTGATCTTCATGTTTCTCTCTCTTCTTTCTTTTTTCTTTTTTCTTGTTTTTTTTTTTTTTCACTTTGTAGCTTGTTTTCTTGTATAAGTCTTGTAAGTGAGACTTATTCTTGAGATAATATTAGATAGTTGAATAGGGGAGTATTACAAGATAAATTTATAATTTATAAAAATCCCTATGTTTGCTAATTTAATTAAACACCCCAAATATAAAATGAAAAACAATCCCACCACTCGCAGTGCCAGATTCCGGCCACCACCGTCGGAATCTGGCCAAAAAATTGAGTTACGACAACGGTGAATCTGTGTCGTAACGCGTCGCAGATCTAGTCGAAAAAGCCAGATCTATGACCGCAAAGGTGCATCTTGGCCGTCACAATGGCCAAGATATGGCCGTCGTTTTTTGTCAACGATGACCAGATTTGGACGGTCGAAAAAGGCCGATAGTGAATAACCAACCATTCAGGTCGGTTATTCACTGTTGTGACAGATTCCGCTACCATTGACGGTGTGTTGCTGGAATCTGGCAAGTATGGGTGGGTGGGGGTGTTTTTGCTATTTTTTAAACTTTTTTCTGGGGGTATTTATAAATTATAACTTAAGGGTCTAAAAGTAATTAAAAATACACTATATTCTGGAATAATTGCCACAATATTTGGGGAATAGGATTGGGAATATGGGTAGAAATTAACCAAACGCACCCAAGTTATCATTCCAAGTTGAGTTAACGACTTTTTTTCTACCCAAAAATGTTTGATGACACTTTTAAACTCACATATTTTTAAAATATTATTTTATTACTCAATTTATATTCCGACAACAAAAGAGAACAAACTCGATCTAGGTTGTTATGGTTTTTAAAGAGGGCAGATAGTTTTTAGTGGTGAGAGTGGATTTTTTATGATTGATTAATTGAAATTTGACTTGGAAGGGACGGCTACGCACCCTATAGCTTAATTTTCGATGATTGAAGGGTCGGTAGGAGTAGGGTTTGAGGGGTTTTGGTGGGTCATGATTAGGGAAGAGAATGATAGTGGTGTGGGGTCGCAACGATACTAGAATCGAAATAGAATATAAATTTGGATAATAAAGTGGTATTTTAAATCTGTGGGTGAAAAGCGTCATTAACCCATTATTTGGAGGGGGAGAAGTCTATACTCTTCTAAGTTGTAGTAAATTGATGATAATACAATAAAACATCTTTATGTGATACTTTATATAGAAATAACCTCTATATAGTTATAAAAAATTCTAGTCCCAATTTGGATAGTTATAAAAAGAAAAACTTCACATTATAATAAGTTATTATCTTATAATTCTCATCTTAAGAAAGTTGTCTCACAAGAAATATATATATATATATTACCACATTAAAGGTTTAAAATGAAATAAAATATTTATGTGAGGTTGTTTGGACAATGATTTATGTTTTAGAGTGTTATCACATTTTTTAACTTGTGGGTACTTAATAACTCTCTAACATTGACATATTCTTGTTGAAACCAAAAATATTTCTAGTTTTTTCAAAATATTTAAAGCTTTTTGGCATGAAACTTTTTGTATTTTCGTACTATTCCCTCAATATTACTTTTTTCTCTTTTTTGTCTAATGCGTTAACGTGAACATGAGTGGTGAAGAAGCAATCGTCTGACTATTCATTGCTCCATATCCTAATCTAATCACTCCCTTAACGAAAAGAATGCACTCTCCACTCCACTCAAAGTTTGGAGAAAATGAAACAAGTCCTTAAAGGATAACTTTGTAAATACTAGATTATGAATATAACAAAAATACATCAAATATATATCAAAAGATTGACAATATATAAATTATAAAACACAAACCATGCAAAACATTTAATAATTTGATATGATTCGAAGTAAAATCTACCTTGAGAAAGATTAATTTTAAGATGTGAAAATAGAAATTATATTTTTTCTTTCATTTTATATACAAATTTCAAACCTATAAATATTCTTTTTCATGTTTACGAGAATGGAGATGAAAACGTGGGATCATCAATTTCTTCTTTTTTGGTTGACTTGACATGGACGTCGATATTATTGATCAAAGATGATACAATATTTCCAATAAGAAATTTTCGTCAAAGGATGCTTTCGTTTGTGAGAAAAATAACGTCAAGGCTGATATCATTAACATAAAAGAAAAATTATACCCCCACTTTAGAAATTCGTCACCACAGATTGAGCAATAAAGATATTCAAAAGACGATGATGTATAGCATTTGTTTTTAGCGGTTTTTATGCTCCTTTAGAAAAAGCCCTCTCTAAGTCTCAGTGGATTATAATATTATTAAATATGGTCTTCTCGTAATCAGGATTCATGATCTTACTGTACCCAGCAGTGAAAAGTGAAAAGCGCTCTTCTTCAGATAAGATGAATGATTGAATGCCTGCTTGCCCATAAAGCTTTTTGAATATAACAAAAAGAGTGACTTCGCAAACACTTGAAAAGTGAAAAGTATTTCCAATCTCAAATCCCAGTTCGTAATCCTGCCAAGTGAGAATACAATTATTCCAAACCCTGGGCTTGGTCGTCTAGATAATCTGCATTTGATATCATTCCATCGTAGTTGATCTTGGCAAGCAAAAAACAACTTTTATTTATTTAAGCACAAGTTTTCCTAGCCACCCCACAATCTTAATATATGTAAACAAGATCATATTATACAAAATCTTGATTCTTGAAGAACAAGCTCAGCAGTCATCCCCCATTATCGAGGATATAATTCAGTAATGGATTCTTCATACAACGAGCATGGCGTTGTCGTGTTTGTAGTTTGATCAAAGCCAAGCTGCGGTGGCATGCTCACCTCCCTTCCAGTGCCGAGGTAAAACGCCGGCTGTTGCGGTGATGGAAGAGTAACAGAGTAACTATTAAGCATGAGATCTATTGTTGCCATTGTTGGTCTCTCTGTTGGATCTTCCTGGACACATAACAACCCCACATGGACGCATCTGATCACTTCGTCTCTTGAATAAGAATTTGACAGAGTTGGATCCAACAATTGCCAGGGTGTTCCATCTCTCCAGTGTTTCCAAGCCTGCAATAATGAATCAAGTATGTAAAGATATCGACTCTTAACAAAGGGAAAAAGTAAATACAATATCTTTCTTTTGCTTACGTAGCTCATGAGATTCTCAGCACCATCTGTTTGATAGAAATTGCTGCTCTTCTTGCCAGTAATAATCTCTAAAACTAGAACTCCGAAACTATACACATCGGATTTCACTGAACACTGCCCATTTATAGCATATTCTGGTGAAATGTAACCACTGCAAATTAGACACAATGCAACTTTGTGTTGTCAAATTTTAATTAAAAATGTGTAAGTAATTATCAACAGTCGGGATGTAGTATAAATCCAGAATATGCAGAGCAAGTTGTGGGAGTGAAAACTTACTATGTCCCAACTACTTTGTTTGTATGTACTTGGGATGAATCAACTCCAACTATTTTCGCCATGCCGAAATCAGAAATTTTAGGGTTCATATTCTCGTCTAACAATACATTGCTAGCTTTGAGATCACGATGAATAATTTTAAGCTGAGAATCCTCATGAAGATAATATAGCCCTCGAGCAATGCCTCCAATTATCTTGTAGCGTCTAGACCAATCCAATTGTCCTCGCTTTTCAGGATCTGCATGTATCCAAATAAAGTTTGCAAATTGATTTCTAAGGACCAGATTCAAAATGCGTACTTAATGATCAACTCCATGGGCACGCATCTATGGAGGACAAATAAAATAAAATAAAATAAAAATTCACCAAGTCTAATGTGATATGTGAATAAAGAATATTGAACTCAAGAGTCATTGGATTCATAGAGACAGTTCAGACCATATAAAAAATAGTCAAGACTTTTGTTGGCAACAAATTCATATATAAGAATCTTTTCTTCTCCCTCCAAGCAAAATCCCAACAGCCTAACCAAATTTCTGTGTTGGAGCTTGGCTACCAATACGATTTCATTCTTGAATTCTGCAGAACCCTGGCAGGATCTTCTCGAAAGCCTCTTTACAGCTATTGCTTGTCCATTAGGAAGTATGCCCTGAGAATGTTCATTAATCAATCACTAGATCATAGCATTCCTGAAACTTTTCGGATGAATGCAACATAATATTGTTATACCTTATAAACCTCACCAAATCCACCTTCGCCCAACTTATTATCAGTTGAGAAATTGTTTGTGGCTACTTTAATTGCCCCAAAATCAAATTGCAAGGCCTTTGTAATGTCATTCCCTGATGCACAGAGTGGAAATTGTGGAGTTGTCTTAAGTCGAACTGAATCTGTAGCGGCAACCTTTTTTAATATTGTGTTTTAGTTAGCAATTTATTTTATGCTTTTAATTTCCTGCAATTAATTAGTCTCCTTAGTTTTAATCAATCAATTTGTCAAGTTCCCTTTCGTTAACTCAATATACATTAGGTTTGTAGTCTTGCTCTCTGTGATTCACCCTGCTTACCGCTAACTATGTATTTAGGTTTAATTTTGTGGCTAACGACCAGTTCGACAATTGCCTAATTTGTACAAAATTAGTCTCCATTTTACACTGATTACTTGCCACTGATTGCTTGACTAAAATGTATAAAGTTAGCAATCTTGTAGTCTGTCTATTTTTCATTCTCTTATCAAAGATTTGGGATTCTTCTCGTTTCAATTCTCTCAATTGATTTTCTCATTCTTAAGGTTCACATGGTATCAGATCCTAAGACAAACGTCAATGGCAAAGATCTCCGATTCTAATCAGTCTAGAACTAGTTTTGAAAAGATGATCCACAAACGTCGAGCTCTTTTAGCTCCATCAAGTCTTCAGTTGTAACTCCAAAATTAACCAGAGATAACTACAGAACAATTATCTCTTTTGGAAATCTCAAGTTCTTTCAACTGTAGGAGCTCATAAAGGGTAGCATTAGTACAATGTTGAGTGAATGAGGTGAAATTAAGTCAAAAGAAAAGTTAATCCTGCCTATTTTCCTTGGAAAAGGACAGATAAATTTTAGTAACCTGACTGTTAGCTTCGTCTCTGAGTGCTGTTTGATATGTGTCAAAATTTCAATGGTCTACATCCATTTGTTTAACTCTTGAAAATGAATTCCTAAATGATTCTAAGTCCAAAGCTCTTCACTTAAAACTCTATTCAAGCTACTCAAAGGGAACCTTAGTATAGTGATTATATCGAAAAATGAAAGGAAATACTGAGAGTTTATCAACGGTGGTCAAATGATCTCTGATGAAGATTTGTTGCAATTCATTTTATTTGTGATTGTTAACCTTACTTCACAAATTGAGTCCATTTTGACTTAGTTACCTTACAAGAAGCACAGTATTCGCTTCAAAAGTATGAAATGGGATGAAAGTTTAATTCTGCTGATTTTTTAAATAGCCCTATTAATATGGCTGCATTAGCACCCCAAGATCCATTCTCTTTACACCAATCCTTTACCTACATCAGTACATCACACCATCCATTACTTGTCACCTATTAGATCCTTTAACCTGCCAAACAATTTTACCTCAGTTCTACCTGTCCTAATCCTCCCAGTCATCTGTTGCATCAACATTATCCTCCTATTATGGATTTCCTACTCATAGTGTACCTGCATTGAGTGATCAATTTCATGCCTCAGCTCATATAGGACAATATGGAGTTCCTTTTCAAAGTTATAGACCATCTGGGTGTTCCTCCTTTTGTTAGAGGTAGAGGAATAAACTTTGCAACATAATACTGTTATACATTATAAACCTCAACAAATCCACCTTCACCCAACTTGTTATCATTTAGAAATTGTTGTGACTCTAATTGCCCCAGAATCAAATTGCAAGGCCTTGTAATGTCATTCCCTGATGCACAGAGTGTAAACTATAAGTAATACTATACATTCCACGAATTTAATTAAAAAAATTGGTGTATAAACTTGAAAAGAGTGCAAAGTGGACATGAAAGATTAATAATATTGTAACTATTTAAGTAATTTTACCAAAATCACTTCCTGTATATCACTATTCTTCTTTTATTGCTCTCCTACTTATGAGACAAATATCGCAATGGAAAGCACCACAGCGACAGCAATTGAAGCAATGATGGCAATGATTATTGAAGTTGAGATTCGGCTTCTTCCTGCAAGAACAGGAAAATGTTTCATTAGATATGCAAGAAATTATGAGTATTTTGGTAAAATTTTAATTTCTAATTCAAAGTGCGTTCTAGTTTACCTTCAGGTCTTGTCCCAGAAGCAAAAGCGGAGGAGAGTGAGGCACTGCCGGAGCCAAAGTTCCGTTTTCATTATAAAACGGGTGCAGTTCATACCGGCAATTACAACTCGATACGCATTCTTCCTCCTTGCTGCTCGTCCGCAACTGTGAAATGATTGTTGAAGACATCTCTTACAGTCAAAACTTGAAAGGTTCCTGTGTGCACTGTGCAAGACAGTACAGTGATTGGGAGGATGTGAAATTTCCCCTTTTCGTCATGAACCTTTTCCAGAATTTGCAGCCTGAGTTACCGTCTCGTTCATCATTCTCTTCACTAGCTCGCTAACCCGACTGCTTCTAAACGCTGTCTACATTAGCCATCAAACTCCCCCGTCATCATCCACTGTAGAGAAAAAGGCTCATTTGAATAACGTAAAAGGCACTCGTTCGTACCTTTATTGCTCCTTTCTGAACAGGCAACGTCTAGTTACATCCGAAGTGGCAAAATTGACGCAATCTTGGCAGGTTGTGGAATTGAGATCACCCCGGCAAAGAAAGAGCCCGTAACCTTGTTGGGTCGTCCCCTGCGGTGGCGTTGAAGAAACCGTTATGAGTGACATAGTGACATGGGAAAAGCGAAGTGAACAAAAGATTTCGGTTGGTTTGATAAGTGTGTTCCCGGTGGAAGTAGAAGTGTTTGGGCAAATGTGATAGGTAATGGATCGGTTGCATTTATCAAATTGATCAGAGAACACAGAAATAGACAACTTGAAAAAAAAAAAAAAAAGAATTTACAGGAAGGCATGTTTATTCTTTTGTAGCGGAGAACTCTGGAATTTTTCTAGAAATCATTATCATGAAGTAGTATATAGTTATAACGTTTTTTTATGAGATTTATGATGAAAAATAATGAGAAGATGACTAATTGGAAAGACTCATATGTTGTAGAATGTCAATTTAGAGGTGGAAAAGTGGCCCGACCCGCAATGGTTGCAGGCCAAACTAACCTAGCCCGCCAACAAGTGTGGCCGGGTTGTCCAGCCACTTTTTCAAACGGGTGGGGTGGGCCCCATTAACACAACCTGACGGGTTTTTGTGTAGGTTGAGCCAGGCCGGGCCGGCCACCAAAAAAATTATTTTTTATTTTTTAATGTTTTTGTCTTTTCTGTAATTTTATAGTTAACTTTTTAAATATTAATTCAATTCAATAATTTTTTGTAGTTAACTTTTCAATATTAATTTAATTTTAATACAATTAAATTGTATATAAGAAAAATTGATTTATTCATTTATCAAAAAGAAAATAAGAAATAAGAAATTACAACAATTATTGTCTTATTAAAAAACTACCAATTTGTGGTACACCTGGTCCAAATGATCCAACCTCTGTTCTTCGTTTGGATAGCGTTATCGAACTTCTCCAAGTAACCAATCAAAGCAAGCTCTGGTTGGAAGTCGACAGAATGCCCTACTCCGCAACAGTTTGGGAAGGAGTTACTTTCAGGTGTAATAGTCTCCTGATTGCTGGGAATTTCCTCGTTATTTTGTCAGAGCGCTTGACTTCAAACCATGAGCTATGAGTTTTGTGATTAGCCTTTGAGGTGAAACTGACTGATCAGTTGAATACCGATAGAGGCTAATGTGAATTTGAGCCCTCCTTCTAGCGTTAAACTATTGATGCGTGATTTTGACACCAACGACCTCGCATATGTAAAGTGATAACAAGGTCTTAAAAGTTACACGTGATATTACAAGAATTGATTAGAGGATGCTATTATCACATAACATGCAAAGACTCAAAGTAAATAGGACGATGAAATTTTATGTTGCTCGGATGTTTAAAGCGAATCTTATATCTATTGTTTTCTTTTATATATAGTCTTCTTGATGATTAACCAAGTTTATAAGAGGTCACAAACTGCAAACTGAATTACAAATGCTTGGTATTCTGGGAGAATATTAGTCAGTCTCTCTCATGGGGTGTCTTTTTATTTTCTTTATTGAATTCAAAATGTTTGATCCCGATTTTGTGAGGGGGAGCTATCTATTTATACTCATTAAGTTCTAGGTAATAATTATAAGTCTGAAAGTGAGTAGGTGTCGTGCAAATCCTTCCTTCTCCATTGGTTGATAACTTAGAAAATATCCTTAAATTAATGGGATTGGACAGTGGTGCGAATCAAATTCATTCACAACAAAACTTGAGCTGGTTGAGTTTGTTGACAACTATACGCTTTCTGTCTTGGGGCAACGTGGCAGACCCTAGATGGCACAACGTCTTCCTGAACTCTTATTGGTACTCGCTAACACAAGCTTACATCAACCTGATTTTTAGGCATAACAACTAAGGTGTTCAAAAGCGGTTAACAGCTTTCTTGAACCGAATTGGTTTTTCGTTCAAGAAAATTCCTGAACCGAAACCGACCCATTTAGGGAAAACCGGTTTTTTTGGTTGACCGAAAAACCGATATACCGTTTTCCCCCTTAAATTGGATAAACTTATTTTTAAAATTTTTTCCTAAATTAATTGTAAACATTAACAATACATAACCAAATAAAAATTAAACATTCATAAATATCCATTGACCACAACTAACAATATATTAAAAATTGATACAATAATTTAATTTTGTTTTATTTAATGTATAATATCGATTAAGATTATATATATATATATTAACATCCAATAACACACAGGTTGTATGCAACAATTGCAAAGTGTTCCATCTCTCCAGTGTTTCCAAGCCTGCAATAATAATCAAGTACGTAAAGATATTGACTCTAACATGTGAAAAAGTAAATACAAAGTATTTATTTTGCTTACTTAGCTCATGAGATTCTCAGCACCATCCTGGTCAAAACTCAAAAATAGTTTACGCTATAAAAACGTGTGCTAAATGTTTGACATATAAACTTAACATAAATTTCTCGTTTTACTTCTCATGCTTGCAGATATGATCAAACGTTTGAATTTTTCCCGTAAGAATCCTATGTTTATCTATATTTAAATCCATAATTTTTCATCACTGTGTCAAATAGTCTCGCC